AATAAAATTAAAACTCTTATATAAGATAAAAATTAAAATTTTTATTATATTTTATTAATAAAATTGCATATATAGTTTTATAATTTTGTTAGCTATTATATATAATATAGATACTTTTAGATTAATAATATATTTTATATTAAAAATTCTTTTAACTTTTTAACTAAAAAATAAATTCAAAATTTAATAATAATATTATAAAAAAGAAATTTTTTGATAATGTTACTAGTTAAATTTAAAATTTAAAAAAAGCTTAATATAAAATATATTATTAATTTAAAAATTTTATTTTTATATTTATAAAATTTTATTATAAATACTATATTAATTTATAATACTTGTTTTTAGTTATATCTTTATTTAAAATTATAAATTTTTAATATAAAAAATTTTTTATATAAAAAATGCTTAATATAAGAAAGATTTTATAGATTCGAATTGAAAATTTTATAATAAAAGATTTTTGATATAAAAAAATCTCAAGATAAAAAAAATTTTGATTAAATCTAATAAATTTTTCATATCAAAAATTATTTGTATATTGTATATTAAAAAATAAATATTTATTATAATATAACTAAAATAAATTAAAATTATAATAATTAAAAATATTTTTTAAATCTATATAATTTTGAAAAATTAATCTAATTATAATAATTGTTATATATAATAATTTTAATATTAATTAATTATATATAAATTCAAACTCTTAATTTTAATTCTAACTCAATTCTAATTAGTTAATTAAAATGCAATTATTATAAATAACAATTACTACAAAGACATTTATTTTTCTTTGGATATTTATTATTAATATTAACTATCTTATATCAATTTGTAGCTTTAATTATAATTTATAACTTTACTTAGAATCTTTTGAATATTTACTTGAACTCAAGCCAAACTTTTGATTAGATTTGAGTTTGATTCAAAGTTTAAATTGAACTTGAATTAGATTTTTAATTGGATTTGAATTTTTAAAACAAACTTTATAGATCAGGTTCAAGCTTGAACTGAACCAGACTCAAATTTTTATCAGAATCCTACATATAATTGCAAAAGATATTTAATTCTTATTTTAGTAGTCGTGTTTTACATTTTGATAGTATTTATATCTTTTATCAAGTTTATGCTTAAATTGCAAGACTACATGATTATATGGCGCAGTACAACCATGTCAATTTTTACGATATATTTTTAGAGCTCTCCTTTCTTTACAAAGTGTTTCATTTGAGATTTTTCAGGAATTCGTTCATATTTCATCTTGACAGCTTCGTCATATTCATAATAAGAACTACAGTAAAATCTCTCTAAATGCACGGTTCCAAGTTATAAGACACATATATACTACTCTCTATAAATGCACACCCTCTCCAAGTGCACACTCTGCTGCCTGTTTTTTACTATAGTCCCGAGGGGGGTGCACTTAGAGAGGTTTTACTGTAACTTTTATTTTTAGATTCAGCATGGTCAATCTTACTATACAAATACAAAAATTATTATCGTCTAACTACTCGGTAATGTATGACTTATTCACTACTTTGGATTTTTCTGCAACGTCGGTAGATAATTCTTCAATCAGTTTTTTTACACCCGAACCAAGACAGATGCCATACAGTGGAAGAACTTCTGATTTAAACCAGAAAGTATCCAAAGCACGATCTAAGCCTTGCGACTAGTAAAATATTTCAATGCATAAAAATTTTTATATTTTTATAATTTTTTCATTAATTGTGTACGTATTGTTTTAAGATACAATAAATATTTTTCTTAGACTTCACATCAATACCTTTGTGTATTTCTATGAATTATGACTATATGGGTCATATATTTATATATGTATGTATAGTACACTTACTTTCTGTGCTAGCATATAGTTCAGGTTTTCAATTACCAAGTCATTTGTTACGATTACAATTGTGCAAAATTCATTAGCGCCATAATTATTTGATTTGACTACAATTGATTGAGTTTGCATTATTAAAATAGGTATTTTTTTTTGACATGTGATTTAGAATCGGTGATTTGTTATATTTCTGTTAACATGCAATTGTAAGTCTTTATTTTATGCTAGATAATTTTCGTTATCATCAATAATTTTCTTCTGATTTTAATCTACTCGATTTTTAAAAAATGAAAAGATAAAATGTGTTTGAAATAATAAAGGAGAAAAATAGATGAAAAAATATTTACATGTAAGATAATGCCAATACTATTACTAGTAATACTATGCATTAATTTTTTAAATAACAAGAAAAATAAATTTTTGTAAAAGAGCTTAGCTCCAAATGTTAATTAATGTTCAAATATTGTTGATGATTATTAGGATCACTTTCGACTATAGCATTATGAGTCTCAGGAATCACTTGAAGATATTGATCATTTTCTTGCATTAGTGTACGACGATGTTTATTGCCTATCATCGAAGATGATAAATCAAATTCTGCTGTTCTTTTCCGTATAGATGATCGGTGTTGTAATTCATTAGCAACAGATTCATGTTGATGTGAATTCAATAAATCAATCGGAGATTTCGCGACGTTCGAATTATTATTTGCCTGATACGCCATTATTGACGATTGCTGATGATAATCATGATGTTGATCGTTTATATATCCGACAGTTTTATCGTCAATATTATTGTCTAGAAACCAAGTTTCTGACCAACTGAAATGATTCAAGAAATTTGACGCGTGAGATAGACTGAGTCTTCTTGACTTTCTATATAAATCGATAAATTGTGATAATCCATGACAAAATTGAACATCACCGATGACAATATCTTTTTTGATTTCGTCA